AAGTCCAATTTGACCGAGCCATTAATCGGTCATATGAAGTAGCTATAAAAAGTCTTATACGTCGCCGACTTAACGACATGCATAGATTGTTCAGATTCAATATTTTATCATATGTAAATGAGATTGTAAATTTACTTCCGAGACCGGTAATATTTTCGATCCTACCAATCAGAAGGCTTAAAATCGAGTAAATTACGGTAATATATAGGGGTGGGGGTGATTAACGAAAACCTGAGGGGTGCTTAACGTTTCTCTTTTTTTAATATACATTTTGACCGATGTTACAAATGGTGGACATGCGCATTCGGGTCCAGTATTATAAGATATTACACGTTGTGAGACGCTCAGCCGTCTACTGGTGCTCGTAGGTATTCAATTTCACGATGGTATAAACTACATGTAGCCCTCACTATCACTTTCGAATACGTACGGGCCTTGCGATGTAGATGATGTGCTATGTTTGACGCTCGCCAGTGTAATTATATCAGATTACTTGCGTGTTAAAGCGTCGGAATGATGGGCGCATAGCTTCGCCCTCGTAGAGAGTTGTAGCAGTATATCCAGGGATGTAGAATATCCTACAACTGACAGCAACTGTATCGGTACTGTAAAGGACTTGACGTCCAATAAAGCTGCAGAGCTTAATTCCCTCTTGTTTGGTAAAAACTAATGTGAAGATACGAAGATTCTTTTGGTGATGAGTATATATGTTTGCCGGCTTCAATATTCATCAATCTTGTGTGTCATTCGCAACTACGCTAAAGAAATAAATGTGACGAATGCCAAGTACTAGTTTCCATAACGAGGGGTTGTTTCTTTTGCTGAAGACATCATCAATATGTATTGATTGAATTTACGAGCGATATTAACCCTTTTCCTGGATCTATGAGTGCTTAAATCAAAATCTGTCATAGTACCGCATTCTTCCCCCTCGCACCTGCATCGTTTGTAAAGCATTCAACGCCATATGATGATGAATTAACTTGTTTCTCCTGTACTTTACGGACACTACGTGCAAGACGCTATCACAATGCAGGCAAATTCATTATCAATAAATGGGTGACTGACGTATCATATCCAATCTAATCAATATTATTCATGTTTAGGCATCCTTCTGATGTAGTTTGAATCACATACAGTCGGTACTAGTGGGTCAGTATCACCTCGCGTATCCTTATCCCGATCGATTGAAGCTGGTTGGTTTTGCTGGCTATAATCAAGATGGGTGTAGATGTCATCATCATTTTTAATGAAATTAAAATTACCACTGGCAAACAATTTTATCGATTTGTTCGCTTGCTCCTCAGGTGATATTGCCGAGGTTTCTTGAATATTACCACTCAGGAAGTACAAATAGGTACAGTGTGATATCGTTGGGCTTTCCAGCGTTCACTGCGTTACACTTGTCCTTGTAAGCCAAGACTGAGGTAGGAGACTCTTCATATAATGCGGCCGGCCCTGCGATGGTGACGGTTGTGCCTAGGCTGCTGTAGCACAATGTACGATTGTGGATACACTGCGTGTCGAGTGCTGTTGAATGGGCAAATTTGAAAAGCTGAACCCAAACCAGTCCTGTTTTCTCCCATCTGTTCATTTGTAGCAAATGCAAGAAGTAGCATTTACTTCAGCCATGTCGGCAACTTAACAAGACAATATAGCAAACAGTACAATATTGGCCGCATTGAACCAAATCGCATTGCTCGTCATGCCCTAGCCGCGAATCTTGAGGGTGCGCGCGTAATATAGTACGCTAAAAAATGCAATAATAAGGTCTGCGCGCAGTTCTCTATGCCGGGATTCTTCATCTATGTACACAGACGGGGAGGACCAGATAAAAGTACGGAGTAGTTTCGCCCGCAAGAAGTCCGACTGTAGGGAGTCAATACAGCCAGACGATCGGTCGTGCTCTGACTACAAGTCGGTGCACTCACGCTGGCTCGTTGGTAGAGGAAGCATTAGACAGCAGTAAACGGACCATCGTTGAACGGACAAGCTATTCAGCCTGATGTATTGGTCTGTACGATAACGCTCATCTTGCTGTACGCTCGGGTGATGGGCACGCACTACTCATGTATTGCAATCATAAACAGCATGGTGCGTACGCAGTTATTTATGCACACCATGGCCTCTTCGTCTGTGTACATAGACCCGAGGAGACCTAATTAAATCAACACCAGTTTCAGTCTCACCCGATAAAACGCTCAAGTACAAATCCTTGAAAATTGAACCGCATGCCCTCCAATGAAATCACAACGTGCTAGAATGTTACCGAAGGCTCACTTTCTTTTCTTTGTCTTCCCCGCACCAACGTGGAATTCTTCTTGCTGCCGTTCTTAAGGTATAGACTCTACGATGTACAGGCCCCATCTTCTTCTCGCGATGGCGCTTGTCGTGGCCGGGGTTCTACCGGCCTCAACCAGAGGCATATCGACGGAGGAGACAACGCTGGACCTGAACTCAACCACCATATCGAACGCTGGCATCAAACAAACGTCCGGCGCAGCAGATTCTCTCGACGAAGTCGTCAGTGAAGAACGGATGCATCCTGTTGCGCAGGATATCGAGGTGGCGCGAGACGTGGTGATATCACTACCCCAGTTCGAAGCTGTTAATGGATTGCACAAAGAAGGATCACAATCGCTTTTCTCAAAGGGAATGAGATGGCTGGCTTCTAAAAGGGCGCGTGCGGAGCAAACGCGACAAACTGCTGCGAGCAAGGCCGTAAATCCTCGTGTCCAGACGGCTGTAACGATGATTGAAGACGGAAAGCCCGATTCGGTGTTGTACGCTGCTCACGTCACGCCTCGAACCTATTGGGAAGCCCTCCGACTGAAGGGAACCGGTGGTATCATCGACACGTTCATGACTTACGTGAAGTATCTCAGATACTCGCTCGCTTATAATCATTATCTGGGGAAAGAAGCTGCTACATTGACAGATGAGGCGACGATGAAGACGGTAAGCAGTCAGATACGTAAGCTCGTATATCCCAGCAAGAAATTGCTCGCTCGCTCGTCAAACATGGATTGATGATACGCGCCTTCGATTTCTTAAGAGTCATAGAATGATATTATTTTTGATAATATCATTTCTTCTTTAATCTCTTGCACCTCGTTTAGTAAGACGAATGGATATTTGCATGACATAGCCAACGTGATAAAAGAACTGGATATATTTTACGACTGACTTTATATTTTCGTAGCCTCTTAAATTAATTTTTCACGCACCGTTCTGTCCAGTTTCGTCACACTCTAACATCTTGGAAAAGACAAAGATTTGTGCCACGTACGTGACTTATTTGCAATTCTTATGCTCAAAGAGAGACGACTTCCGCAATGTCATTCAAAAACCTCGGCACTTTGAGTCAAAGTCACGGAGAAAACCCCCGGTCTTTTTACCTTTACGGTGGCAGTTTTCTGTGTGATCTCAGGTGCTCGACAACTTCGGCATTTGCACTGACATTATTGTAAAAAACACTCAAGGCAATCACGCTACATGTTCGCAGCCCACATTACAAACGCACCGCATGATTTTTTCTTGTCTTCAGTGAAATACACCACAAGCGATCACATATGCGCGACACTGCCGTTCGCTAGCCAACGGTCCTCACCCCATGACGACGTCGTTGTCCATAGGACGGATAAGGATAAGCACCCGTCTGCTGAACATTCAATGACAGGTTCGAGCTTCCGTCGCCTTTCACATTCCTGGGCGACTTCGATTTTACTGAGCCATGCACGACTTGCTATCATTGTCGGAGCGACAGATTCGAACGACAGACATGTTAGTCATGACCGCTACCGACGTTTCTGGTTTGTCTCACTCACGAGACATTATAATGTCAAATATCTTCTGCGAAGTGCTGAGCATGGAAAATAAACGCGTGCGCTCAACGACAAGAGAAAGGAGAAGATCGATTCAGTATACATACGTATGCATGCTCGAAACTATACACGACCTCGTGCCTCGTAACAATATTGCTGGTCGGATCGTTTGGTGTAGTGCAGTGCTTGCAGATTCACATCCTTATTTGCAACCGTGTGGTAACAACAAGTGATGTACATTCTGCCGACACTGTGCTCTTGCAGTGAGTGCCAAATGGAAAACGATCTTCCCAGCAAATGGGCCATTTAGCGTCTTGGATAGAATGCAGGATAAGCGAACCGTCAGATTAGCTTATTGCAAATATCGGCAAACACACGGTTCGACCATGTGACCCATAATGAATAAAAATATCGCTCAAAGTCAGCTTTGGTACCGTGTACCGTGTACCGCATGTGGACGCGTCCACTTGTGCACTGATCGATTGACTCATCATGTCATCAGCGTCCGCTTCGAATACCACCATCTTCGTGTCGTCCCGCAAGAGCCCGTTGGCTATGGCGCAGACCAATGCTGTCATCTCCATGCTCGAGTGTCGGTTCCCAGATCTCCACTTTGTTGTGGGACAGGAGGACACGATGGGCGACCAAGTCTTGGACCGCCATCTAAGCGACTTGGGTACATCCACTGCCTCTGGTCTCTTTACCAAGAGTCTCGAGGAAGCGCTGCTCGCCAAGACCGCCCACTTTGCTGTCCACTCGCTGAAGGACATGCCGACAACGCTACCGGCTGGTCTCGTGCTGGCTGCCATCACGAAACGAGAGAGTCCTGAAGACGCAGCGATCCTTCATCCTAAGCACAAGGCCAAGGGCCTCACAACGCTCAAGCAGCTACCAGAGAAGAGCGTGATGGGCACTAGTTCGCTGAGACGCGAAGCGCTGATAAGGAGTCAGTTTCCCAGCTTTGAGGTCAAGACGTTGCGCGGCAACATCCAGACGAGGTTGGCCAAATTAGACGAAGGTGACGAGTACGACGCTATTATTGTGGCGGCCTGTGGGTTCCGGCGTGGGGGACTCGGCGACCGCATTGACGAGATTCTGCCAATGGAATCGTTTGGATACGGCGTTGGCCAAGGAAGCATTGGCGTGGAATGCCGTGCGGACGATGAGCAGGTCGTGTGGAAGTGGGGTAGTTGATGATGACGCAAAGTGTAATTTTTGATGATTGTTCCGTTTGGATGATAGACAATTGCAATGCTGAAGACGATAACGGATGAGAAATCCGCGCACTTGTGCAAGGCCGAGCGTAGTTTGCTGTACCACCTCGAAGGTGGATGTCAGGTGAGGCGGTTTTTTATTCCTTTTGGTAAGGAAAAGAAGGTTTGTGAGTCAGTCCATCCTGACGTTTTTTGTCACTAGATTGCTATGGGAGTGAGTACGTCGCTGAATCAAGACACATTGACGTTGAATGCAACAGTGTTGTCTCGCGACGGCAAGAGTAGTATCTACGGTAAGTTCATGGTTTGGCTACCATCCGACGTACGATGTCTTGTACTATGCTCACTGGCGGCCATCTTCTTGTGACTCATTGCAGAAAGCATCTCTGGACCTTGTTCGGAAGCTGATGAGCTTGGCAAGAGCCTGGCCGGGCGCTTCTGGGGCAATGAGCTGGCCCGGAAGGTGCTAGGAAAGACCCAGGAGAAACGTGCACTCACGTATGGCGACGCCGAAGCTCCTGGTGAGGCTGCTGCTATGTCTGCTGCTGCGGCTGCAGAATCGATGTCAAAGAAGATGGAGATTTCCGAGTAGGTACATACGACAGTGCAGTCAGTACGAGCAGCATAGAGACTTTTGTCCATGACCAGCGTTCGCGTGTGTGTATCCATTCTCTCCGTTAGTGTGTCTCGTGTGTACCCATATGCACTCCGATATTTCAGAAAACTTCCGAACCCTCTGGACTGGTCCGGCTAAGTACGAAACACTAGGTTCCAGTCATTCTGCAAGTCGGCGTCTACCACCACCACCATCGCGTCAAGTGGCTACACTGCCGCCTCCGTGTCATTGCACGCCGCGCAGCAGTCGTTCCACATCGTCTCGCTGCCCCCAGCACATCCTCCTCAAGCTGTCCGTCTCGTCTTTACCCACCGCTGCACGTCACACGCTGTACCAGTGACCCACAGCTTCCGTCCGTGCAAACTGAATTACACAGACGCACACAGAATGGCCAGTGATACGTTGACGCGCACTCCGACCAGCCGCGTGCTGCAGGCTTTTCGCGCCATTGGCATTGTGGTTGCTGATGTACCACTTGTGTGGTACGGGATGGGCAAGGCGAGCTTCGCCACGGCGTCGCTGGGCAAGTCGTTCGTCGTGTACAAGTGCGACAAACTAACGCCTGTGCTCGTGTCGCCTCAGCTGCCGAAGCGCATTGCGGCTCTGGCCGTGCAGCCCAAGAAGCACTTGACGTTTACGGCCTGTGGCCGTCAGATCATCGTCTGGAAGCGAGTCGAGCAGATCAAGACGTTGCTGGGCCACAAAGGAGCTATTCAGCAGCTCATGACTGTGGGCACCATTCTCTTTTCGCTGGACGACGCACGCAGTATCATCATGTGGGACTTGGACACGATGGAGATCATTGACACGCTGAGTTTCCCAGTACACTTTGAGCCCACGACAATGCTGCACCCCGACACGTACTTGAACAAGATCCTTGTGGGGTCGAAGCAAGGTTCGTTGCAGCTCTGGAACGTCCGCAAGAAACAGTGTGTGTTTGAGTTCACGGGATGGGGCAGTGCAGTGACAGCGCTGGAACAGAGTCCTGCAGTGGACGTTGTGAGCATCGGGCTGGCAGATGGGCGACTGATGGTGCACCACTTGCAGCTGGATCGACGCGTGCTGGACTTCCGACAGGATCAGCAAAGTGGCATCACGGCCGCGTCTTTCAGAACAGATGCAGGTGCTTCAACGACGCCTTTGGTGGTCTCGGGGTCGCGATCGGGTGACATTGCAGTGTGGAATTTGCAAACCAAACGTCTCGAGTCGGTGATTGCGAATGCGCATGACGGCGCTGTGATGTCGCTGCAGTTCCTGGCCAACGAGCCGTTGTTGTTGTCTGCAGGGACCGATAATTCGATCAAGTTGTGGATTTTCGACCAAATTAATGGGGGTACAGCTCGACTGCTCAAGTCTCGTGAAGGTCACCGTGCGCCACCGACGCGCATTCGCTACTACGGGAACAACACGCTTGCTACAATGTCGGACGGTGCTGACGGCACATGCTGCCAGATCTTGTCGGCCGGTCAGGACCGCGCCTTCCGTGTCTTCCACACGGCGCGCGAGCAGCAGAGCAGGGAGCTATCGCAGGGGCCAGTTCTCAAGAAAGCACGTAGTTTGAATGTTCGCGTCGATGACTTGAAGCTGCCGCCGATTGTGCAGTTTGCTGCTATGGAGACGCGAGCGCGCGATTGGGCGAATGTCATTACGTGCCACGAAAACGAGATTGCTGCTTACGTGTGGCGCTTTGAGCACCGCGCTATTGGCAAGAAGGTGCTCCGACAGTTTGATCCATGCAACCGCGTTCCTTCGGGTAGCGCAGAGGATCTACGCCGCAAAAAGACGCAGGCAACTAGCGTGACTATCAGCTCGTGTGGCAACTACGCACTTGTCGGCAGCTCAGGCGGAGCTATCTTCCAATACAACATGCAGTCCGGCGAAGCCCGTGGCTCGTTTCCGGTGGCACTGACGCCGAAGCCGAAGCTCATTAGCTCGCTCGTGTTACCTGGAACAGATCTGTCAGTGCTGCAAGACGACGAGCAGGACGATACCGCTATGGATGCTCACGACGGACCCGTGAGCGCCGTCGCTGTTGATGCGCTGAACGAGACCTTGGTTTCTGCCGGGATTGACGGCAAACTGAAATTTTGGGGTCTCAAAAAGCACGAATTGCGTCATGAAATCAACGTGGACTCTCCTATCAGCCAGATGGAGTTGCACCGCGATAGCAACTTGCTGTGCGTAGCGTGCGACGACCAGATTCTTCGTCTATTTGATGTGACGACGTACAAACTTGTGCGCCGTTTTGCAGGACACTCACACGGCGTGACAGACATGACTTTCAGCTCGGATGCGCGGTGGCTTTTTTCATCGTCTGCTGACGCATCGTTGCGCGTGTGGGATATTCCAACGGGCAAGTGCGTCGATTGGATGCGATTTCAGAAACCTGTGACTGGCTTAGCTGTATCGCCTACAGGCGAGTTCCTTGCGACCACGCACGTGGGCCACGTTGGCATTTTCTTGTGGGCCAATCGCAGCTTTTTCACCGAAGTCTTTCTTGATTCTGAGCCGACCACGCCTGTGCTGATGGACATGCCCGTGGCTTTGAACGAGGTCGACAACAGCGACCATCTCGGCTTTGGCACTGAACGGAACCCTCGAGTTTTAGTGGCAAGCACTGACGAAGCGCGGCCAGAAAGCGTTGTAGATACAAGAGGTAAAGAGAGCCCGGGGCCGCTCGATGCTTCGCTCATCACGTTGTCAACGGCCCCACGAGCATTTTGGCAAACTCTCTTCAACCTCGAGCTTATCAAGAAGCGCAACAAGCCTATTGAGCCTCCCAAGGCACCGGAACATGCTCCTTTTTTCCTTCAAACCGCGCGCAAGGACGACGTGCATCCTACGTTTGTGCCTGTTGCACCCAAGTCCAAGGAGAGTGTTGTAAACAAAGAGGGCGATGACGACACGATGCTGGAAAACTGGGGTGCTCAGGATGACGATGCGGCATGGGGTGATGATGATGGCGAAGACCTGGAAGAGGACGCTGAAGTAGCTGCTCCAAGCTCGCGGATTGTCAAATCAGAAGGCATGGTTACTTCCCGCTGCAAGCTGGCAACGTTGCTGGCAAAGTCGGTGCAAGATGACGACTATAGTGATCACGCGGCCTCGCGCTTTGCTAAGGTGTCGGCGTACATGCAGTCGCTCTCTGCGTCCGCAGTGGACGTCGAAATGAGCACGCTGTGTATGGGCGCCTTTGACGAGGAGGGCAAGAAGCTGTTGGCTTGTTTCCTGATATTCCTGCGCGAGGAAATGCGTACTCGACGTGATTTCCAGGTACTTCAAGCTTACCTCAATCGATTCTTGAAACTGCATGAGGAGCTGCTCGTGGCGGACCCAGCGTTGTTAGCACAAGCAGATGAGCTGGGAGGTGTGCAGCAGCAACAGTGGCAGCATCTGCAGAAGCTACTGCACAACAATTTGTGTCTGGTGCAGTACCTCAGCAAGATTCAGATGTAAGTTAGCAAGCGTGGTTTCCGTCGCTCTTTGTGGTGGTTTCGTCGTCGCGGTCTTCGATTTGATTCGAATAACGCTATGGAAAGCGCAGTTTACCTTGGATAGACGACACGACGGTGCACCCGGAAGCTGAGGTGCTGAAAAGCGACGGGTTCCAGTGTCCAGCGCAAGCAAATATTCTTGTGCTATGCAATAGAAGACACGATCTTTTTCCGCTCGAGCCTGACATCAGTCATTAAGAAGAACGGTCGATAAAACTATTTGATTGGAGCGGTTGTCCTTGGTATCGAGGGCGTGCTTCGAGTCGCTTTTTATCAACACTTGTCGCCATGCCGTTGTGCGCTGGGAGGCAAGCAATTCGGATACGTTACATTTTGCATCTAGTTATCGAATGCACTTCGTATACTCAGCACGTAAAGCACCAGTCGATGTAGTTGTGGCGCCATGAAAAACGATTGATACGTAGACAGCAGCAATTGTGGATCGCAGCTTCGAGATTACTCGATCGATTCACTGGCGTGAACGCCTATGATTTCCTCGCAGGCGACTGTTTTCTGTCAGTTGGTATAGCGTCCTTTTTACAAATCTCAACAAAAGCCAGTTGCTTTCAAGGTGCCTGTAGCGCCTTTCGGTGTTCTAGAAAAGTCGTTGAGGCCGCTCTAGATTGAGCTACCTCCAGTCGAGAGCTAAAGTTGCCGACAACTGGTAGGGACCGAGTAGTAGCATCTGCATATTTTCTTTTTGCACAGCTAATGGCATACAAAAAACAAAGCAGCCTGCGCATTGTAGTAGTAGCAGTCGCAGCAGTCGCAGTAGTAGCAGTAGAAGGGTGTAACGGGGCACACCCTTGCGTGAACTTAACGCAAGGGTTTCGGGTGCCCCGACAGACGTACACAAGGCAAGCGAGGAAGCGTAGATAAGGGAAAAGTAAAACTGTTGTATTAATATAATTAAGTCTTTTAACTACTGTCTCTCTGTTTAACCTGACTTAATTATGTTAATCTAACTGAGTGTATGGTGACGTCTCGTCACCACTCATTGCGCGCGTCCTGCGGCGATTGTTGATATCGTCAAGATATCAATCAATGAGCAGACCCTTTAGTCGCTTCACCAATATCACCACTATCGGTGATATTGTGCAAAGAATATTCAACTTCATATTCTTTATTGTCATTGTTTCTTTAAAGTGACAATTCCATGTTACGGGCTGCCCCGTTACATCACCCCCCCTTAACTGATAGTCACTATGTGACTATCGAAAATATGGCGGCCACCCGTTGGTCACCATTGGGACAGGGAGCACTTGTTGGGTCCGTTCCGTTCATAACTTGACATGACCTCGCATAGTTAACATGTCTATGCGGGGTGACGCAAGGCACACAGTGTAACGGGGCAGCCCGTTACATAATATTGTCACTTAAGGAAAGTGACAATAAAGAATATAAAGATGGATATTCTTTAAACAATATCACCAAAGTGGTGATATTGAAGGGTCGACCAGAAGGGTCTGTTCATTGGTTGATATCGTGATGATATCAACCCACCAATCGCCGCAAGACGCGCGCAATGAGTGGTGACGAGACGTCACCATACATGCAGTTATATTAGTATAATTGAATTAAGTCAAACGAAGAGACAGTAGTTTAAAGACTTAATTCATTAATATAACAGTTCTACTTTTACCCTACCTACGCTTCCTCGCTCGCCACGTGTACGTCCGTCGGGGCACCCAAATCCCTTGCGTTAAGTTACGCAAGGGTGTGCCCCGTTACACCTGGTAGCACTTTGTAGTCCTTCCAAGGACCACATCATCCAACATGAACATGTTGGATGAAGAAGACACCTTTCACGCCACGCGTGAAGGGTTTACCCATTTGAGTGACATCGAATGGGGTGCGGTAGAACGAATGAGTTCTACCGTAGGCGAACTCGTCGTCAGCACCATGTTGGAGTCTCTAGACAGAGACCAACAACATGCTGCTATCGCCAAGTTCATTCACAATGAACTTGCTCTCGAGAGGGAGAAAGTAGCCTTGCTTCACCAGCAAGGCTCTCAACAGGCCGAGCAGTTGAGAGAACTCGGTGCTCAACAGACGGAGCTGTTGAGACAGCAGCAATTCCATGCTGCTGTGGGCGGGACGGCGCATGCGCGTCGTCCCGAGGTCATGAAGGTTGACATCTCCAAGTACAGTGGAGTCCCGGAGGACTCCCTGTTACTATGGTTTGTCGAACTCGACAGAGCCCTAAGGGCTCGTCGCGTCGAAGATGAGCAAATGAAACTCACATTTGCTCAGACCCACTTGGCAGGGCGTGCCAAAACTTGGTCCCTGGGACTCGAGAATAGCGACCCACATGTGTTTAGGTCGCTAGATGACTTCAAGTCCCGGCTCAGACAAACGTTTGAGCCGCCACGTGCTGAGTTCAGGGCTCGTTCAGAGCTCCTGAAACTCAAGCAGGGTAAGCGTGATGTGCACGCTTACGCACAACATATACGACTCCTTGCGAGTAGTATAACTGCAAACCCAGTTCATGAACACACGTTGATTACGGTGTTCATGCAAGGGCTTGCAGAAGGGCCCGTCAGGAGCCACCTGTTCCGCCTTGAGCTGAATACGCTTGAAGAAGCGATATCAGCCGCGGAACAGGAAGACTTTAGCATGAGACAGGCTCATGCTAGCTCAAACTCTTAATGTCCACCGAGACGACAAGAGATCGGAGGTCCAGAACCAATGGACCTCTGTTATGTTGAGAGCGAGAGACCTCGCTCTACAAGCAACAAGCGATTGCAGAGGTGCAATCGCTGTCAGAAGTTAGGGCACTACGCATACGAGTGTAGTGCTCCGCGCCCAGTACCAAACAGTACTGAGCGAAATGGACGACCATTCGCCAGAAAGGGCAATGGGCGTGGGTCCAGCGCTGTTGCGAAGCCGCAACAGCGAGACGGGCCATCAAAAAATGGTCGGGGTCAGTAGGGGCGGAGCGCCCTACTGATCCAGCAACCTCAAGAGAATTTGCAAACCTCTTGACGAAAGTTGCTCCAGATACACAATCATTGTGTGTCTCTGCACCTGGTGATGACGTTTCGCTCATCACCTTGAAGTTGGAAGCGACAAATGACTTGTCGCTTCGTGCCCTAGTAGACTGTGGGGCGTCGAACAACTTTGTTCGTCGCCAGTCACTAGAGGGTCGTAGGCTCAAGTTCGTTGAGCGCGACATTCCCCTCACAAGGATGACGGTGCGCCTTGCAACAGGCGCATCGATAACCGTTGAGAAACGTGTAGTAGGAATCCACTACACGTTAGAGGGCGAGCAGTACGATGATGATTTCATCGTACTAGATCTGGATGACAAATTTGATGTCATCCTGGGATTACCTTGGCTCAGAAAATACGAGCCAAGGGTGAGCTGGCAGCATCGATCCGTGAAGATGCCTGCTGCTTGTTCATCAGATGGCCATCTGATGAACATCTTGGAGCGTCCACAAGCGTGTGGATGTTCTGCGAGTGAGTGCGATGGCCTCACTTGCGGTACGGTCGTTAGCACGACTGCACAAGGTCACAGTGTAGTTGATCACTACACTGTGGAGCAAGCTCCCGGCGGCTGTACAGAAGTACAGGCTGCGCCGAAGGTCCACCACTCGAATAAGTCGAGTGGACCGGGACATGGATGCATGCCTAGCGGGCAGCATCTTAGAAGAAAGAAATCTGTTGCCCCCAAGGGGCAACATGAAAATCCTAGGTCGACTGGAGAGTCGACCGTAGAGGATCGGTTCCTGACTGTGGTTGCACAGCCACAGTCGGAAGACGTCGAGGGAATAAGTCCCCACGTACTTGAGGAAGGAGTTCCTCAAGAGTTGCTTGCTGAGGGATCAGGCCCTCAGCAACCTGTGGAAGCAAGTTCCCAGGAAGAAACCGAGACGTTGAACGTCTTGGTTAATGACGGATCAAGCGTAGGCGCTTATACGCTTGATCTGATTGTGCCTCCGAAGTTGACTTCGGAGATAACTCAGTTGCCAACGCTAGAACCGAAACGGTTCTTGCGTGATCTGCGTAGTGGCAAAGTCAAGCAGATCTGCGTACTCGTCACAGAGGACGAGTATGTGACCGACATTCGGTCGGCAACAGTATTTGCTGAGAACGAACGGGTTCTCAGCAGCTCATCGATGGACGAAAGTGTCCTCGATGAGAAGACTCGGATTGAGCGATACGCGTCCCAATCCTGGGAGTCACTTCAGGCAAATCCTTTGTATAAGGATTTGATCGAATTCAGGGATGTGTTCCCTGAATCCGTACCTTGCGAGTTGCCTAAGGACAAAGGCACTCGACACGAGATCGAGCTCAAACCGGGCTCGAAATACTGTGTCATGAAGCAGTGGCCACTGCCTCGTGAACAAGTGATAGCGATCGACAAGTTCTTTGCCGATCGCTTAGCAGCGGGCCATGTGAGGGAATCAACATCCCCTCACAGCTCTCCGACCTTCTGTGTGCGAAAGGCCACAGGAGGGTGGCGGATAGTGCACGCATTCAACAAGTTGAATGCTGCAACGGTACCGGCTCAGACGCCGATACCGAGGAAGGACGTCATCATAGATGGTATGTCAAAGAGTACCATCTTTTCGTCCATGGATCTGATGGATGGATTCTATCAGATCCTCATGCGTGAACGGGACATCCCGTTCACAGCAGTGAGTACCCCCAGCGGGATGCTGTGGGAGTGGCTAGTGATGCCACAGGGGCTGAGTAATGCCCCTGCAACATTCAACAGATGTGTCACAAATCTGTTGAGACCGGTGCGAGACTTCGCACCGAGTTACTTCGACGATGTGTTCGTCCATAGCCGGGCTATGGACGGAAAGACGGACGTTGAAGTTCACAGAACTCACGTTCGTCAGGTTCTTCAACTTATGCGCAAGCATAAGTTGTACGCCAACCTCAAGAAGTGTATATTCGCGGCTAGCGAAATACCACTTCTTGGGTGCATCGTGGGGAAACACGGCGTACGCC